CACTACATTTATCACACTCGGACAGCATTTTTCATTAATTTTTTCTGTCCCATACTGGACTGTTAATTCTTTGAAAAAAGCTAGGTCTTTCATCACTATATATCTAGTAGTTGGTACAACACTGAATTATTTGTTGAATAAAGAGATCTACTTGGAGCAATGTAATTTTTAGATGAGGCATTAGGACAAAAGGGGCAGAGCCTCCACACCACAGTCTTTGGTTGTTGTCTGAAGGCTTAAGGAAATAGAGCAGTTTCTCAGAATTAAAAAGTGGTTTGACGTTGGTGAACATTTTGAAGATTTGTGATAAGACGTGAGAAAATTACTACAGCACATACTACTCATTGGCACTTCTGAATTTAAGGGTCTTCTTTCCTCTCTCACTCTCATCTTTCCTTCTTTGTGGTGTGTCTTTCCCTTTTTATGGCAGTCTCTTCTGTCTCCCTTCTCTGTAGTCCTTCAGCAATGGCCAGTTTGCATAGGGGCAGGTAGAAGAGGGAGAGGAGTTGAGAAAGGTTCAGTCAAAAGCATCTAGCATGTGCCACATTGAAATGTTTCACTAAGCTCTGGAACCGCAGAGATGAATAAAATTGGTTTTCAGCCCTTGAGGGATGGATAGTCTAGTAAGGAAAAAGGGTATGTAAAAAACTCACTTCTGGTGTGGTGTAACTCCTGTGAAAGAACCTGTTAAGGACGAGGAGCTCTGTAGTGCAGAGGGAGGAGGTCCCTGTGGCCGTCTTTTAGGGGAGGGAGGGTNGAGGAGCTCTGTAGTGCAGAGGGAGGAGGTCCCTGTGGCCGTCTTTTAGGGGAGGGAGGGTGTTGCTGGAAGATCCACGGGCCTGTCATCTCCTGGGTGTTCAGGATGTCCTGTGATGGACGAGGAGTTCTACCTCAGTGCATTTCATTTTTTTTATAATGTCTCCTAAAAAAAAAAGCTATGCTATGCTTTTCCTCCGATTTCTTCTTCTTATTTTGTAAAAGGGCTTGTGTCAGTGCCCCTCTGCTAGAAAGACCTTACCTCCACCCCTGACCCACCCTTACATTAGGAACGAGGCATAGAAATAGTCATGTGGGGAGAGTGTCATCAGCAATTCAGATAATTTTAAGTTATTTTCTGTGTGTGACCCTGATTTCTTCCTCTCATTTTGTAAGAGGGTTTGTGTCAGTGTCCCTTTGCTAGAAAGACCTCACTTGCACCACTGGCTCATTCTTACATTAGGAACTAGGTATAGAAGAATGAGGTATTAGATATCAGTCATGTGGGGAGAATGTCATTAGCAATGCAGATAATCTTAAGTTATTTTCTTTTAGTCTGAAATGTATTTGGTCCTAGTAGTTTTTAAAGTGATATTTTTTGACTGCTTCTACAGTCATGTTAAGAAGTGCTACATTTTCTCATGGTTATTTGTATGCTTTCATTCACATTCTTAATTAATAAGTTGGAATGTTAGAACTTAAAAA